GGTGAAATATATTGAATATACCATGGACTGGCAGAAGAATGAGCAGAGCTGCCTTGGAAGAAGTATACCCAGAATGTTCCTTAGAAGAGAGGATGGTGAGACTTCATCTCACATACTTTGGACATGTGTCAGGAAGGACCAGTTCCTAGAGAAGGGCATCATGCTTGGTAAAGTAGAGGACCAGTGAAAAAGAGGAAGAACCTCAACAAGAAGGGTTGACACAGTGGCTGCAACAAAACGCTGCAATGTAACAATTTGTGAGGATGATGTAGGACCAGGAGGCGTTTCATTCTGTTGTACATAGGGTTGCAATGAGTTGAAACCGACTCAATGGTACCTAACAACAACATTTTCAGGAACCAGAGACAAAAGGCCAAATTTTTGTTCCACACACCCACCAACCCTATGTTTGAATATCTATTTCTCCAAATCCTAGCCAACCCAAGGTTTTTCTTCTTTATCAAGATTTTTGATAGATTTTAATAGATTTTCTATTAAAAAAGTTATTATTGTAGTTTTAATTTGCTTTTACCCATCCCCTCTCCATTAAAAGTCTGCTGGTAATCTATTAATCTTTTAAATCTCAGATTAAAAGTCTATCCCCTTTACAGATCCTCCACCACTGAGTTTTTCCTTTAAGCATCTGCAGCTTTTCATTTATATAGTTCCATACTGCTTTCCACCACTCATCTGTCAGTTTGTTGCATTGTAGTGGCTTGTGTGTTACTGTGATGCTGGAAGCTACACCATGGTATTTCAAATACCAGCAGGGCCACCCATGATGGACAGGTTTCAATGGACCTTCCAGACTAAGACAAGGAAAAAGGAAGAGGGGGGGAAAAGTGGCCACTAAAACCCTTATGAACAGCAGAGAAACATTGTCCAATATAGTGCTGGAAGATGAGCTCTTCAGGTTGGAAGACACTTAAAATATGATTGCAGAAGAACTGCATCCTCAATCATCCACCATTGACCTTAATGGCATGGATGCAGCAAAGCCTTGGGAACTTTCACTTGCATGACTCAAAATGTGGCAAATATCCATTAATAATTGGAATGTGGAATGTACGAAGTATGAATCTAGGAAAATTGGAAGTGGTCAAAAATGAAATGGAACACATAAAGATCAATATCCCAGGCATAAGTGAGCAGAAATGAACTAGTATTGGCCATTTTTAATCAATCATACATGGTCTACTATGCTGGCAATGACAGATTGAAGAAGAAAATGGCTCATGTTCATTGTCAATAAGAACATTTCAAGATCTATCCTGAAGTACAGTGCTCTAAGTGATAGTATAATATCTATATGCCTACAAGGAAAAGCAGTTAATATGATTATCATTCAAATTCACTCACCAACCACTAAAACCAAAGATGAAAAAAATTGAAGATTTTTACCAACTTCTACAGTCTGAAATTGACCAAATGTGTGATCAAGATGCAGTGATAATTACTGGTGATTAGAATGTGAAAGTTGGAAACAAAGAGAAGGATAAAACAAAAAACAAACAAACAAAAAAAAACACCCAACTCACTACCATTGAGTAGGATCCGACTCATAGCAACCCCTCCTTCAGTTTCTAAGGTGGTATCACTACGGAAGTAGATTGCCCAATCTTCTTTCCCAGGAGTGGCTGGTGGGTTTGAACCCCCAGCCTTCTCATTAGCAGTCAAATGCCTTAGGCACTACACCACCAGAGCTCCCTGAGTATGTAATACCGCCTGAATTTAGAGACTATCTGAAGAATAGATTTGTCTCACTAAACACGAGTGACCAAAGACCAGATGAGTTGTGGGATGACATCAAGGACACCATACATGAAGAAAGCAAAAGGTCATTAAAAAGCCAAGAAAGAAAGGGACCAAAATGGATGTCAGAAAAGACTCAAACTTGATCTTGAATGGAGAGTAACTAAGGCAAATGGAAGAAATGATGAAAAGCTGAAAGAAAATTTCAAAGGAAGGTTCCAGAAGACAAAGTTTTATAATGAAATGTGCAAAGACCTGGAGTTAGAAAACCAAAAGGGAAGAACACGCTCAGCATTTCTCAAGCTGAAAGATCTGAAGAAAAAAATTCAAGCCTCAAACCACAATCTTGAAGGATTCTATGGGCAAAATTTAAGGAAGACTGAAAAAGAACTGATACCTTTGAACTGTGGTGTTGGCAAAAAATACTCAAAATACCATGGACTGCCAGAAAAATGAACAAATCTGTCCTGGAAGAAATGCAGCTGGAATGCTCCTTAGAAGCAAGAATGGTCAGACTTCATCTCACCTACTTTGGTCATATTGTCAGAAGGGATCAATCCCTGGAAAAAGATATCATGCTATGTAAAGTAGAGGGTGAGAGAAAAAGGGGAAGCCCCTCGACAAGATGGACTGACACAGTGGCTGTAACAAGGGGCTCAAGTATAATGTGAACTGTGAAGATGGCACAGGACTGGGCAGTGTTTTGTTTTGCTGCACACAGGGTTGCTATGAGTCAGGATTGCCTTGACAGCACAACAACGTGGACAAAATATTGAATGATGAATGAAGCATCAAAAGAAGATGGAAGGAATACAGAGTCACTGTACCAAAAAGAATTAGTTGATATTCAGCCATTTCAGAAGGTAGCATTTGATCAAGAACCAATGAAAGAAGAAGTCCAAGCTGCACTGAAGGAATTGGTGAAAAACAGGGCTCCAGAAATTGATGGAATACCTATTGAGATGTTTCAACAAATGGATGTAATGCTTTTATGACAAAAAATTTGGAAGACAGCTCCCTGGTCAATGGACTGAAAGAGATTCATATTTATGCCCATTCCAAAGAAAGGTGATCCAACAAAATGCAGAAATTATCAAACAATATCATTAATATCACACACAAATAAAAATTTGCTCAAAATAACTAAAAAACAGTTGCAGCTATGCATAGATAGGGAATTGCCAGAAATTCAAGCCAGATTCAGAAGAGGATGTGGACTGAGGAATATCATCGCTGATGTCAGATGGATCTTGGCTGAAAGCAGAGAATACCAGAAAGATGTTTACCTGTGTTTTATTGATTATGCAAAGGCATTAGACTGTTGGATCATAATAAATTATGGATGACATGGTGAAGAATGGGAATTCCATTAACTCTTAATTGTGTTCATTGGGAACCAACATTTTTTGTTAGAACAGAACAAGGGCATGTTTGAAACCAGGAAAGTTATGCATCAGGGTTATATCCTTTCATCATATTTATTCAATTTGTATGCTGAGCAAATAATTTGAGAAGCCGGATTTACATGAAGAAGAATGCGGCAAAGACTCATTAACAACCTGTGATATGCAGATGATACAACCCTGCTTGCTGAAAGTGAAGAGGACTTGAAGCCCTTACTGATGAAGATCAAAGACTACAGCCTTCAGTACGCTTTACACCTCAACATAAAGGAGCTCTGGTAGTGTAGTGCGTAAGGCACTTGACTGCTAACCAAGAGGCTGGCGGTTCAAACCCACCAGCCACTCCTTGGAAGGAAGGTTGGGCTATCTACTTCTGTAGTGATACTGCCTCAGAAACCCAAGGAGGGGTCGTTATGAGTCAGGTCCGACTTGACGGCAAATAACAACAACATAAAGAAAACAAAAACTCTCACAAATGGACTAATAAGCATTATCATAATAAATTAAGAAAAGACTTAAGTTGTCAAAGATTTCCTTTTACTTGGATCTACAATCAATACCTAGGGAAGCAGCAGTCAAGAAATCAAACAATGTATCACACTGGGCAAATTTGCTGCAAAGGACCCTTTAAGAACAAAGATAGCACTTTGAAGTCTATGGTGCACCTGTCCCAAGCCATGGTATTTTCAATTGCCTCATATCCACATGAAAGCTGGACAATTAATAAGGAAGAACTTGAAAGAACTGATGCATTTGAATTGTGGTGTTGGCGAAGAACATTGAACCTGGACTGCCCGAAGAACAAACTACTCTGTCTTGGAAATACATCCAGAATACTCCTTAGAAGCAAGAATGGCCAGACTTCATCTCTCATGCTTTAGTCATGTTATGAGAAGGGACCAGTCCCTGGAGAAGGATATCATGCTTAGTAAATGGCAGAGAGTCAGGGAGAGGAAGATGGATGGTCACAGTGGCTGCAGCAATGGGCTCGAGCACAGCAAGGATTGTGAGGATGGCCCAGGACCGGGCAGTGTTTCCTTCTGTTGTAAATGAGGTCTCTGTGAGTTGGATCCAACTCAACAGCATCTAACAACAACAACAAATTGTTTTGAATTTTAGTGACTGTTGATTTATCTTCTTACCACCATAGACTGTAAGTCTTGGAGTTAAGGACCTGATCTTTTTCACAGAAACATGAATGTAGTGCTAAACAAGAATTCTGGCGGTCATATTTAACCAAGCTTCTCATTTTATAAATAACAGGAGCACTGTGCATTTGCAGAATGAGTTACAATTCATAAAGGCTTTTCGCAGACATTTTAAATTAGTGATATTAAATCTTCACACTAAGCTTTTAAGGGAAACAGCGTATTATCCCCATTTTGGGCTAGGAAACTAAGCTCTTGGGAGATTTATAAACTGAATAAAGTGATTTACTCACTAGTAGGTCCAAGACCCGAATCCACTGCCGTCTCCCCATTCCACTACATGTCAGCTGCCTCTCGTTTCCCTCACGGCACTTATTGCACAAGAAACATGTGATGAACTAAATGAAAAAAATGTCAGGTGTAGACAGCAGCTTAAACATCTGAAATTAGAGCAAACGTGCTGGCAGCCGTGGATACAAAGCGCTACACACACCTCTCGCCCTTCCAGTCGCAGTCATGGGTAGTTTTTACTCCAGCGACCCTCTCCCCTTCCTGGGAGGATCCTCTTGGTAGCTGGCAATGCATACTCCCAATGGAAACACGACTGCGCGCGGCCCCTTTAAGGCTGCGGGCGGCGCGTGCCCCTAGTCCTTTCAAATGGACCAATAGCAGAGCGATGGGCAGTCAGTCGAGGACCAATAGACAACGATGACACTGCGGGGTGTGCGGCGACCCAAGCGGTTTTAAACGGCTTAGAGCAGGCCCCTTGGTTCTGACCCGGCTGAGGTGAGTGGGCGGTGGTCCCGACCCACCCGCACAGGCCGGCTGATTCCGGCCTCTCGCGCGCGGAGCGGCCTCGCACAAGGGGGAGGGATCTCCGTGGGCGCGTGCCTCACTTGCCACACGAACCCGGCAGGGCTGAGGCGGTGAAGCGGGGCGGAGGCCCGGAGACCCGCATCTGGAAGTGCGTGGGGCGTGGGTGTGCCTGTGCGACGGAGGCCGAGGCTGGGATCCAGATGATCTGAGGGGCGCGGGCAGCAGCGGCAGCTCCTGATGGGCGCGAGGGGCGCAGGGCCGCGATTAGCGTTTGAGATGTTCCGGGGTTAGGGCGGGGGCCCTGAGAGCCGGCCTTGTGGTGGTGCCTCTCGCGTAATTGTCAAATGAATGAATGAGAGCCTGGGAATGCTGTGGTGATTGTGAAGGGCCCGGACGCTTCGGAGCGTTGGTAAGGGGCAGCGGTACCCGGGCCTGGCAGCGCGCACCTGTGCTCCTACCGGCTTGCGATGTTAACAATTCCGATCATTCACCGCTCTGATGTTACGCCTGGCTTTCTCTGAGGCAGGAGGCTCAGCCTTTCAAAAGGTGTCAGTGGAGTTCAATTGTCTTTCCAGTTATGAAGGATTTGGGGACCTATACAATAGCCAGTGGTGTAGGATAAGCAGGCCTTGCTACTGTAGGGTGGTGGCTCGGTAAACTAGACTCTTACTTTCTAGTTCTTATCACTCACTGGCCAGTGAGTTAGTTACCCTGCAACCGTGGTAATTGTCGGGCAGGATTTAAATGCATTGGAATTGTTTCTGGGATAGAAAATCATGAAGGTGGTGTTGCCAGAGTGACCACTCTGTTAGAAAATATATTTGTGTTAATGAATCTTAACAATGAATTTTTCCTTTGGCATCAGTACGGGGGAAGTGGTTTTTGCAGAACTTGCCCCACATTTATGCATGGCTCTAATTTAATCCTCAGGAGAATGGAGGCATCAAATCTTGGCCCAGAAATACTGTCTTATTTTATGCATAATTATAGTAATTGAAAACTCATTTTTAGAAAGGTGAGCTCCTCCTTTCTCCATTTTTATTCCTATGAAAAGTCCTTTTTTGACCTCAAGAATAGCAGCTGCCAATAATTAAGCTAACCATCTTTTGAAACTTTTTTTTTATTGTGATTTGGGTGAAAGTTTACAGAGCAAATTCACTTTCCATGCAGCAGTTCACTCACACCTTGTCTCATGACATTGACTACAATTTACCACAATGCAACAGCTCCCCTCCCACATCCTCCCCATAGCTACCTCTTCCCTGTGTCCTTCCCTCCATGCACTCTTGCTCCTGAGCTATGTCCCTGTGCATACACAGCCCTTCTGTTCTCCCATGATTGTTCTCTCCAAGGAGTGTATCTACTTAGTGTAAATGTTCACCTCATATGCCTGCCTTTCGTTTGGCTGGAAGCCACAGGAGTGGGTTCAGTTCCACACCTGAAGGGCAGCTAGGGGCCATAGTCTCAGTGGTTCCACCAGGTTCTAAGATATTTTTACCCCCACAAATGATTATGAGTTTTGTTCCACATTGTTCTCCCACTCTATCCAGGATCTCCTACACCCCTCTATCTACCCCTCCGAGTGGTTGACTGTGGTAGCTGGGCACTATCTAGTTCTTCTGGTCTCATGGTTGTATAGGCTGAGGATTGCATGATGTACTAGTCAAGATCGTACCAGTAAGTGATACAACCTGAATTTGGACCCAAGTTAGTCTGTCTACAGGACTTTTGCTAAGACTTTTAGCCTATAGTTATAGTATATGAAGTAATAGGATCTGATAGGGACAATTGAGGAGCAGTTTCTGTGTAGATCTCCCCCTCTTTTCTTCCTTCTACTTTGAGATATGATGAAATATGAGGGACAGGCGTGGTAGTTTTTAGAGGGAAAATGGGGACAGTTGAAAGTACAGTGTTAACAATATGGGAGATGGACAGCTATGACAGTGTGGTGGAGACTTGGAGGGAGAACTTAAAATTGAGAACTTGATCTAATTATGACTTATGGATTTTTGGTGGTGAGTGTTGGAAAGGTTTGAGGTTCTTAAGGGGTCCTCCTTACTTCTAGAGTTCAGAAGATGTTAGTTAGCCTTACCTGGGCAATTGTTTGCTGTTGAGTCTATTCCCACTCACAGGAGACCTGGTGGCACAGTGGTTAGATGCTCTGCTGCTAACTGAAAGCTCAGTGGTTTGAACCTACCAGCCACTCTGCAGGAGAAAGATGTGGTAGTCTGCTTTCATAGAGATTACAGCTTAGGAAATACTATGGGCAGTTCTGCTGTGCCCTATAGGGTCGCTATGAGTTGGAATCGACTTTACAGCAACAGGTTTTTTTGTTTGTTTATTGGGGTAATTACCCTGTCTACGTGATACACCTCAGACATATTAAGCTTATTCTTTTTGGCCTTTGCGTTTGCTGTTCGCTGCCTAACACTTCTCACCTAATTTTACCCTTGCGTTGGTCAGTTGCAACTCAGGTTTCAACTCAAATGTCGTCTTAAAGAGGCATTTTCTAATCTCCCAATTAGAGTAGCCCTTTTAGTCACTCTGACTTCATTTTCCTTCTTTATTTCATAGCATTTATTGCTAGACAGGGTGTTTATTGCTTGCTTGTGTATTGTCTGATTTTCTCACCATGAAAGAATGACATAGGTGGGGTTGTTTTTTTTCTTTTTTTTTTTTTTTTCTGTCTTGTAACCTTAATGACTCACATAATGCCTGGAACAAAATAGGTGCTCAAAAAATATTTCTTGGACAAAATTGGCCAGAACTGGCCTAGTGTTCTCTGTAGTACTCAAGACAATATATACAACCAACCAGGTGGTTGTATTATTGTTTTTGGATGTAAGCAGTATCTCAACAGACTAATTTAGAAAATCTTCAACTAGGGAAACGGGAGAAATGATAGTTTTATGTTTGTGGCAACTGGGTAGGAAAATAAATCTGGCTCCTCCCTCCACTTTTTTTTCCTTCAATTCTCACACTACTGAGAAATTGAAAGAATAATATCAAGAATAATTACACTTTTTACTTAGATTCACCCATTTCAGAGTTTTGCAATATTTATTTCCACGTATATGTGGAGAGTGTGTATGTGTAGATATATACTTCCCTCCCCCCCAAAAAAATCATTTTAAGTTGAAGGTATCAGTGTAGTTCATCTCTTAAATTCTTTAGCAGTCTTCTAAGAATAAGGACATTCTCCTACTTGACCCCAATACCATTGTCACTTATAAGAAAGTTACCATTAATTCCATTAAACATAGTCCATAGTAAAATTTCCCCAGCTGTTCCCAAATGTCTTACCTTGTTTTTGTTGTTGTTGTAATCTAGGAGCCAATCAGAGTTCACACATTGCATTTGATTATGCCCCTTAGTCCCTTTTAATCTAGAACAACCCTGTTGTTGTTGTTTGTGCCATTGAGCCGGACCCGACTCATAGCGACTCCTCCTTGGGTTGCTGAGGCAGTATCACTACGGAAGTCTATTGCCCAGCCTTCCTTCCAAGGAGTGACTGATGGGTTTGAACCGCCAGCCTTCTGGTTAGCAGTCAGGTGCGTTAGGCACTATCCTACCGGAGCTCCTAACAATCCTACTTTTTTTTTTTGAACAGACTTTATTTTTTTAGAACAGTTTTAGATTTACAGAAAAACTGAGCAGATAGTGCAGAGTTCTCATATACTCTCCCCTGACACACGGTTTCCCCCGTTATTAATATATTAATATAGTACATTTGTCACAGTTAATAAACCAGTACTGATCCATTGTTACTAGTTAAAGTTTATAGGTTATTCAGATTTTCTTAGTTTTTACCTGTTCCTTTTTTCTATTTAGGATCCCACCCAGGATATACCACATTTCATTTAGTTGTCATGTTTCTCCTTGGGCTCCTATTAACTGACAGTTTCTCAGACTTTCCTCATTTTTTATTACCTTGACAGTTTTAAGGTCAGGTATATGGTAGGATGTCCTCTATTGGATTTTGTGTGTGTATGATGCAAATGTATACAACAAAACATACACTAATTCAACAATTTAATGACAATGATTATGTTCTTTAAATTGTGAAACTATTATTGATACCTTTTTCAAATTATTCCACCATTAATATGAACTCAGTGCCCCCTAAGCAAAAATCCCTCTTTTTTCTCACTCCTAGTAACTACTAAGGAGCTCTGGTAGTGTAGTGCCTAAGGTACCTGACTGCTAACCAGAAGGCTGGAGGTTCAAACCCACCAGCCACTCCTCAGAAGGAAGGTTGGGCAATCTACTTCCGTAGTGATACTGCCTCGGCAACCCAAGGAGGAGTCGCTATGAGTCAGTCGATGGCACATAACAACAACAGTAACTACTAAGGAGCTCTGGTAGCATAGTGCCTAAGGCACTTGACTGCTAACCAGAAGGCTGGTGATTGAAACCCACCAGCCACTCCTCGGAAGGAAGATGGGGCAATCTGCTTCTGTAGTGATATGCCTCTATGCCTCGGCAACCCAAGGAGGGGTCGCTATGAGTCCGGCCGACTTGAGGGCACATAACAACAACAACAGTAACTACTAATGGGGGGAGCTCTGGCAGCGTAATGCCTCAGGCGCTTGCCTGCTAACCAGAAGGCTGGTGGTGCTAACCCACTAGCCGCTCCTCGGAAGGAAGGTTGGGCAATCTACTTCTGTAGTGATACCGCCTTGGAAACCCAGGGAGGGTTCACTATGAGTTGGATCTGATTTAATGGCAGTGAGTTGAGTAACTGCTAATAAGTTTTGGTTTCTATGTATTTGCTTATTTCTTGTGAGACCATACAATATTTGTCCTTTTGTGACTGACTGATTTCACACAGCATGATATTTTCAAGTTTCATTTATGTTGTGGCATGCATCAGGACTTCGTTTCTCTTTATGACTGAGTAATATTCCATTGTATGTATATAGCATTTTGTATATCCCTTCATCTGCTGATATTTTGGTTGTTTCTACCTT